ACTAACTTATTGCGCGCGAGTTAATCGATTACAAAGCAAAACGGGTGAACAGTTTTTTCTCAGGGCTCACGAGTACCAAAAATATATGAGATTTTCAAATTTTTTCAAGTTTTTAATAGCAGATTACATTTGTGCGCCTTAGTGCCGTGATTGATGCGATTCAAGATCTGTCGAATTAGGGTATTAGGGCGCTGTGTGATGACGAGAGCTGATGTTAATCCAAATTTTATAGAGGAACTTTGGCGATTGTAACAGCCGTCACACAAAAATCTTTTTGGTTGTCATTCGTTTGTCAGCCAAAGAAGAAAAAAGAAACGGGACGAACGTCACACATCAAATATCATATCAAAATTTCAATATTCTCTCGAATCGGCTATATAAACATATTGCTCTTTCCCTCCCTTTAAAGCTGTTACGACCTAGCCAAGTCTCCTCCTTGAGTCTTGAGGATTCAAAGACAAGGATGGATGTGATTTCGAGTAGAATTCTTGCGCGAGACAGAAAAATCGTCAGTTATATTTAAACATTTTGTATGTATATATATATATATATATATATATATGTATATATTATATTTATACGTACGTATATGTATATATATATATATGTATATATATAGATGCGTGTTTTCTCATATAGCGACATATGTATATATATATATATATATATAAATATATGACTTAGATACAAAGAGATACGTAAAGTAATTAGTATTACACAGTGGCATGGTATGAAGGTAGGCAACGATCGGTTTAATCAACACTATTACGACTCACGATGACGCTAAAAAAAGACACGAATCAACGAAATCAGCATGTACACATATGTCCGAGAAAAAATTTGCATACACACATTTTACATATGTCGTGGGCGTGCGACACACGAAATGTCGAAGAATCAAGTGAGATAATCGCATGGGATAAATCATATCCGTTTTTCTTTCTTCTCGGTTAAAGTGATGTGCAGGCAAGACGGAGCAGGTAAGAACATGGTACGGAAACTCTCCAAGGGATAGGAGGTGTTTCTGGCCTTTCTAAGAAAGGCCCGGTGAATTTATGAATCAGTGTGTATGTACGCGAACGGATAATGTTGTTCTCTCGTGAAACGATTGTTACTTCTTTCCCCCATTCTCTCACATTTTCTCTTTCTCTCTGTTGTTTCTTTCTTTCTTTCTTTCCTTTCCTCTAAGAGGCCCCGGCTTACACACCGGGTCGAGAACTTAATCTAGGAAGGTCCGTGATGAGAGCAGATGTAGTTATTTGTTAGCGGTTTTGACGATGAGGCATGTTGGGAGTGGCAAGATTGGGGATTCGGTGACTTTTCCTACACCCGTTTTGTGTACTAATGCTCTTTGCTCTTGTTCTCGTTCTTCTCTCTTTACTCGTTTCGTTCTCATCTATTTCATTTTCTGCGGTCTCTTCCTCGCGCTCCTCCCCCACTTTTTTGTCCTTTTTCTTGTCATTTTTTCTTTCTTTCTTTCCTTCCTCCTTTTTCGCTCGATATATGTCGCTCTCCCGTCTTTTATTCTCATTCGATATCGAGATATTATAAAATGTCGTTTCGTTTCGCGCTTTCGATTCTTTCCAAGACGTCGTTTACGTTCACTCTCTCTCTCTCTCTCTCTCTCTCTCTCTCTTTCGCTCGCTCGCTCGCTCGCTCGCTTTCACATTCTTTCTCGCTCTTTTTCTCGGACTTTTGCTCATTAGTACGTACCGGGGACGAAGCGTTCTACGGGTTTGTACTGATGGGGATACAGCTGCCTCGGCGAGTAGCCGTAAATCTCACGGTGCACGGGTAGGTACCTGGGGAAGAGAGAAAAAGGAAAGGTTTAATACTCGTTGAAAGAAGCTGTTTCGGTCAAATCTCTATATTTTTGCCGCTCAAATAACATCGTGGATCAAAAAGCGTCAGTCGTCCACCACGCTCCACCGTCAACGAATCGAAATTATCCGTTTCGAGAGTATTGACATACAAAACGAAAATATAAAATATAAAACGACGTATAAAACGAAAATTGACATATAAAGCGAAAATAATGTCTAATACTCGATGTCAAGAAAATAATACGGCAGGGAGGTGAGGAGAGTAGATTCTCTTGTAATCTCTCAATGAGTCACACCGCGCGTCCGTTTTATTTAACGTTAGCTCGACTACTCCGTCGACTGCGTCGACGAAAGTGCACGATGAAAATGAAAACAAAAATAGCACGCGTACACACGTACCTGTATCCGGGAACGTTAATACGGTCAGCTGCGTGAATCGGGTTTTCGAAGATTGACTTTCCAAACGGCCACGAGGGGGAATGCAGCTCAGGAAAGTCCGAGCGGAAAATGCTGCGGGGCCTGTGAGTATGCTCGGGAGCTCTGATGTCGTCTGTGCCTGTGTTTTCGTTAAAATTTCGTTAAAAGAAAACATGTCGTTCGACGTGTCACACGTCACTCGAGAAGGCTGCGAGGAAAATGCTTGCGGTAAATGTCGGAAGTCAAATTTCCGAATTCCGAATTCCGAATTCCGAATTCCGGATCGGCACCGCCTCGCGAGCCGTTTCTCCCGACGACGAATTCAAGGCAAAATAATAAATATGAAAGGAAAGAGAGAGAGAGAAAAGACAAATGCAAATATCTCTCACCTTTCAGGGCCCGCACGTAACTCTGCCAAAATTTCGCCTTTCTTGTGATTGGCTCGTTGCGTCCGATCATGTCGAGGTTGCTTTTGAATCGCGCGTCCATTTTGCCACTGAAACGCTTTCTACTGAACTGCTAACCACGCTCGTTCGCTGTGTGACAGAGAAGAAAGGAAAAAGAAGAATAAATCCGTGTTAGATCGCGCGGATAGCGCGCGTTCGTTCGAATTTGCGAATTGAGAAGGAGACCGTGATTTGATTGTTTCGACGAGGACGACGAGCGTGTGCGTGTGACTTTGGTTCGCTTCCGTTTAATATCCCAGAGAATAATATCCCCTCTTCCTCCTTTGCGAAAGCGCAAAGGCAGCTAACGCTGTGTACACGTGGGAACACGTGGGACCGCTGAAACGGTCTACAAGACATTTGAAAGACGTTTGCTTTGATCATCGATCCTTTTGCCGTCGTGATTCGACGTCGATGACAAAATTTTACTTTACTCAACAAATTTCACGTTACTTTAATAAAATTACCGAGCGATATGTAACTTTTCACGATTCTTCTTGGCACGTTCATGTACGCGGCGCGCGCGTCCTGCGCGAGCTGGTAATTTGTGTGTTTAATCGCGAGAAAGAACAAGGGCTCGGTTACCGTCAGGAATATCAGCGAACAAGCAGGAATCACGCGGGAAGGAAGTCATCGGTCATTTCCCTCCGTCGAATACGATAAAATGTACCGACTCGCGGATTTTCCGCGAGTGCGCAAAGCGAAAGCCTCGAGACCGAGAGAGGAAGGAGCATCTTGTTGCTCGCGCGACGGGCGCTGTAAGAAATTCCCGTGGCCTGAGGTGATTGCACAAGCCGTCTTAAATTTAACGTAGGCTACGTAGGCGCGGCAGTGCTTTTTTAACCTTGCTTCGGTAAACCGTGCCTAACCATTTCCGCGATCCATTATCGCAAGGTGTCGTCATAAAACAATCCTGGCTCTGTAGATCACGTTCAGTTTAATCGATCCTAACCGCTTCCGCTTGTTTTAATACGTCAGCCGAGAGCTCGTTCTCGTTTACTCGTTTTCTCGGGGGACGGAGTCGTTTGTAGTATTAGCGTATCCGCAAAAGATACAACTGCTCTCTTCTCTGGTAATCAGTCAATCAAAAAAGCGCGGCAAAAACGAGCAACGAGCTCGCGAATTAAATTATTACGTGCAAAAAAAATTTTTAATTCGGCTACAAAATTGAAGTCGAAACTTTTACGATTCTGGTGACGCGTTATTTTCAAAACAAATCTGAATCTGCTTGGTGTGTACCGTGCTTGGATTTTCGATTCGAAAACGTTCGTCGTACAGCGGCGTCCTGTTTTCGATCGCGTGCGAAAGCAAAATTGGTCGTGGCATCCCTTGCGCCGGCCAATCGTAGCCTGTGACACGAACAGGCGAACGTCGTTTTTCTTTTTGTTGACGCAACGAACGCCGCTAATTTTAGCGTCACGCATACTTCATAGTCGCCCTGGATCGCTAGAACGTTTTCTCAGATATTCCCGTTTCATTCTCTGCGGGAGTGACTGATGAAGGTCGACTGATGAACGAGATGACTTACTTTGTGCTACTTGAAAGAAAAAAAACAAAAGAAAGAAAAGAAAAAAAAGGAAAAACCGCGAAAAAATTGAACTTGATTTGCATTAAGTGTAATCAAACAGAGCCCGATATTATCGTTCGGTTCAGCGATGAGAGCACATCGAGTCGTGAAATTGAAATGTTTCAAGTTACAGCTGTCGCTAAAATTAAAGTGATTTTTCTCTCTTTTTTTTTTTCTTTTTTTTTAACTTGACGTCGTTATTTCACGCCCGAATTTGAGTCGAACGAAATCGTCGGTCCAATCTCGCTGTCTCGTGTTGCAATTAATGCCGGATCAGTTGCACACAGACACAACAGAGATATATATATATATATATATAATATTTTCACTCCCGAAATACTAGCCGTAATACGTATTGCAAGGGAAGGAGACTCGGATCTCCGTGAACGAGACGAGAGTTCGAGACGCGTTCCTCGAACAGTGTCACAAATTTCTCGGCAGAGAGAAGGAGAGCCCGGCTGATCCTCGCGCAATTACGTTCTCCAGTTTGCATTCTCGGCCAGGCAAAAAGGAAGGCGTCGCGACGCCCACGCGACGCGACGCGAGAGCGCGACGCGTCGTGACGCAAGAGTCCCGGATTCGCGGTCGCTATATTTAGGCTGCCCGGGTCCCGGTCTGTTTTTAGTCACAGTAACAGGTGGACGTGGAAGCTGCGCGACATAGGCGACGACATAGTCCCGCTCGACACGAGTCTCTGTTTGACTTTGACCGATTTTCGCGAACCCCCATCGCGCGGACCCCCCATGGTAAAATGCCGCGACGCGATCGTGACCTCCGCGTATGCCCTCGTATGCACAGTCATGGCGACTTCAACGCCGGATTGACCCCCTTCCCCCCCCTCCCCCCCCCCGACTGACGATACAGCTTGAACTTGCGATCTCGGTCGCGGCTACGCTCTGTCAAGTGTCTAATTGTTGATCTCGATCCATTCGACTCGCGATGATTCAACGACGCGCGAGAATATGCGCCCGGGAAATTACTCAGATTCAGATTCAGTATTGCCGCATTTCTCTTCTTCTTCTTCTTTTTTCTTTGTAAATAAAATATTTAGGGGTTTTTTATGGCGATGAATCAAAGGGATTAGAAATATTTAGAAAAGAAAGGTCAAACAGAAGGTGGAAGATGCATAGATTATGCATGGAAAATCTCGAGACGATCTCGAGACACGAGAGATTGAAGTTTCAATCTTAGCACTTTGTTGAGAAAAATGTCTCGATTGTTGGATCGTTGTTTATCCGCCAGATTATCCGCGTATTTCAATCTCAATTCTACGTTTCTACGATTTCGCAGCCGCTTCTATCAGATCACGTTGCTTTCGCGGTATCGCGCAGTATGAGCAACATCTCGTCTGAGAATATCTTGACCTTAAAATCGTATTTGCGTGGAAATGGGTTAAGCGCTTGACACGCTGACCAATTTGCGCACATCTCCGTGAGACGTAACGTGACGTCAATTTGTGACGTCAATTTGTGAAAATCACGGGTGAATTTCACAAATTGACATTGATTTACAGCGAATTTGCACTAACTGTAATGCGAAATATAATACAAAACTTTGCGCTCCATTACACATTTTGTTCAACAATTGCAACAAAACATATTTTTTTCCTTTTAGAGTGTATAATAAAGACGTAATGACGACGTGGGAAGAATATCTAATATTTCTTGTGATTATCTTGCACTATTTTGAAACAAATTTGTCAAATGTCAAACCTAGCAGCATCTAAAATATCTCCATGGGAAATGGTGCCCGACGAAAGTCGTCCGAAAGTATCCGTCGCATTTTTGTCGCATGCGTAATCGCGAAAATCAGGTCGAAGCGAAAGTGCCGAAAAAAAAAAAGAAAAAAAAATGAAGGCGAGAGATGGCGGCGCGTTGGAGGCACGCAAAGTCAGAGGAGATAGAATACATCCCCATCCGAACGCGCGCGCGCGCGCGAGTAATCTAGATGGCTGCTAAAAATATATATGGCGCGGTCAAGCAAATTATCTGGGACGTAGGTCCAAAAACTGAAACACGACGCCTTCCTGTGTTGCCTGTGTGTAGAGTCGTCTGGTATATATCTCGCTATAACTCGAAAGTCCGCTCGAAATTATCGTTGAGGCATTTTAATTGAAGTCGTCTCTCGAGTTGTTATAGTCGCGCAAACGTGCAAATATTTTTTAAATAAGACGTGTACTAATGTTGCATCGTGTGGATACTAATTTATCAATCTTTAGAGAAAAATTTAAACATGTGCTATTTCAGGAATGAGATACCAATTTGTAGACTCGCTGATGCAAAATGCAAAATTAAAAACGCGACTACACGTGAATACACTTCTTCTTCTTGTTGTCACGTTTGTCACGGGGAGGGGGGCGATTTGCATGTATACATGCTACGAGGATACGGCATTGAGATAGAATAATCGGGAGGTTTTGGCACTCTCTCGCTAACACGTGCAGCAGCAGCAGCAGCAGCAGCAGCAGCAGCAGCAGGGTTTCGGGGAGCGGCACTCCCGATGCGTGGCAAACGGGATTACGGTTTACGACTGTTGCTGCGACTCTCTTCCCACTTGTCGCGCAACTAGCATTCTTGGCGGAAAATTGCGCGACTATTCGCACCACGCGACCTCGTGAGAGAGCCAACTTTCACATAACACAGCTGTGATTAAATAACGATACACGCTATATTCCGTCAGAGTGCTACTTCATTCGGAATCAGCTCGAGAGTGAAGCTCCCGGTCCTTGTCACTTTCGACGCAAAGTACCTTACGAGAACAAGAACAGGTCGAGAAGCGTTTAATGAGATAATAGGAAATACGAGGTGCATTGAGATGCAATCGTGTCGAAATCGTGAAGATAACTCGGAGAGGGAGAGGGGGAGAGAGAGGGTGGGAGAGAGAGAGAGAGAGAGAGAGAGAGAGAGAGAGAGAGAGAGAGAGAGAGAGAGAGAGAGAGAGAGAGAGAGAGAGAGAGAAATCAGCTGAAGACGAAAGCGAACATGTGAAAAAATGAGCTGATTCAGGCGACGCGTCGCGGAAAACGGTACGGTACGGAATGCGTCATAACGAACGAATTTCCGAGGCGAGAGTGCATCGCTTAACGCACCGGTGGCGTGTACAAACGCGGTAGTGTTAGAAATCCGGGCCGGGATGTTGAAGACTTGCCAGGCGGGCGAACAAATTTCCTAAGTGCAGCACGCTTCTTCGGATTCCGGCCTTGCGTGACTCGTTAAAAGCCCGTCCGCTCGCACGACATCCGCGTGACCGTCCCATCCCATGGGGTGGGGGGGCGGCGGCGGGGAGAACGCTTTCAAGAAAACTTTCACACATTGCGATATTAATGCCGAAACTTTATCGGCACGGGCCGAGGAGGCGCACTAGAGGCGGAAGGTTACGCGATGAAACGCGAGAAGCGCGCTCGTTTCCTCCTCGCCGGAGAGTAGTAATCAGCCGTTCGTGTCAGACGGCTCAAGTCTGACCGTTTAAGTAGATACAGACGCGTGCGGGCGCGGCGACAGCCCGCGCCCGCACTTTCTTACCTCGCCCCTGACGCTTTACGAAGCGACTCGTCCGCCGCTTCATCTTTGCGCGATTCGATCGATCTCTGCACGACAGTTTCTCCCGTACTATGTGTAATTCCGCTGTGTTTCAAAATTCCAACAGCTAGTAGTTGCCGGGCACAGGTCAGTCGGTTTTTTACCCTTCCGCAAGATAACACCTCGATCTCTCTAGCTGACTTTTGCCCGTCGAAACTTGGACAAGAATAATAACCAGAGATTTGAACGGTTGAATTTTTACATGTACAAAATTCGAGGTCGATCGTTACAAGCTGTGCGATCGTTTCAAGGCTAAAGTTCATCTACCGAGGAACAATCAAGGTCGTCAATGCGTCTCGTGGAGAGAAAGTCGCGGCGAAGAGAGGAAGGGAAATCCAACGCCGCGGCGTTTCTTCATCTTCGGTAGGCAAATTGTTTTGTGTTTTAACAGTAGAAAGAGAACGCGCGCGTAACTACAACAGACGCGTCGGTCTTGGCGTCGGCGAATAGCGCTAGGATCGGCTATTTTCGGCGGACGGTATAAATACGCGGATCGCACGCGCGCGCGCGCGCGCGCGTAACTTACGTAAGCTTTAAACAAATCCTTGCCAATTATTATAAACAATTTACGACTGGCGATCGGCATCGGGAATGCCGCCGACGATGCCGTCAGCGTAGCGTGCGAGCCTGAAATTGGTATCGCGATAAAAAGGAAACCGAGACGATGGCGTTGGCCATTGCCAAGTCGCTTCCACAAAATTAGAATTCGTCGGGGGCGGACACGAACTTACGCCGACGACGACGACGACGACGACGACGACGACGACGACGGTGGCGGCAGAAGAACGAAAACGATAAATTTCCGACGTTAACAAGGACACTCGTCTCGTCTACATTCTTCTTATGTACACCATGTACGTGAGAGAAAAAGAGAGAGAGAGAGAGAGAGAGAGTGACAGAGACCGAGAGATCTTAATCTTCCGAATCCGAGCAATTTCGTGACAAGAGCGTCTAAGAGCATTTTCGCAGATCCTCGCGGATTGTTTTCGATCGGCACTGTGCTTGCATCACGCAGTTTTCTTCGCGAAAAAAAGAAAAGAAAAAAAAAAACGGAAGAATCTCTATTTTCCTCTTGAAATTGAAATGGAATCATTCGGGTCGTAAGAAGTTTCCTTCAAAAAATGACGATATCGAAGCTGCGTTAGCATCAAGTACTTCGAGATACTCGGAGATATTTCAAACGCACTTTTTCGCACCGTCCTGACTCAGGCCTGTCAAGGACAGGGATGCAATCGCCGTGAAAATGAAAACAAAGCGTATTTCGCTATTACATACACATAAAACAAATTCAACAAATATTAAGACGAAGCTACGTATCGTTCGCCGTGAAATGTTGTACATTGCATTAGTGACATTGATTAGTCTGCAGACACGCACACAGACACCTGTGTGTGTGTATGTATGTGTGTGTGTGTGAGTAGCAAGCATGTGCAAGAAAAGGAGGTGAAGGGATAATGTGTGCGACGACGGGGTGAAAAGCGTAATCAACGGGCGGTGGGTTAGGTTAGTCGGTGGAAGAGCGAGTTCCTACTAAATACGTGTCTGGAGAGACGCAGCTCGGCGGAAGAACGGAAGAGGGCCACGTCCGATTAGGCGTTCCTTCTTTCACAGAGTGGACGATCGAGGACGAGGGCGCGCGTTCGGTCGTGCGACCCTGAAGTTATCGCTTCTCGCGCGCGATCAGGACTCGCGACCCTCGATCTTATCCATCTTATTCGGCGCACTCACGATGACGCTCGCGTCGTCCTTTCCGCCACCGTTTTCCAAACCGTTGTTCTCGTCTTCTCGTCGCAGCTAAAGCTCCTTTTCCTCGCGGCTTTTTATTTGTCCTCTCTCTCTTTTTTTTTTTTTTTCTTTCTCTATCTCCCTCTCTCTCTCTCTCTCTCTCTCTCTCTCTCTCTCTCGACAAGGAGAAAAAGAGAGATTTTTGTGCGCGAAAAGAAAGAGAGAAAAACAGACAGAGAGAATGATGCAGGCCTTTACCTAAGTATTTCGGGCGACCGTTCGGTTCGGAGTTTGGACCTTAGACTGGGCGACTGCCGCCAAAAGTGTGGACTAGTATACCGCGGCTTGGTACACGGTAGCGCCGATCTAGCGACGGTATCCGGCAATAAGCCGCGCGACATTTATGGCACAACCCCCGCCAGTGAGACGCGATTGGTGGAGATGCGTCGATCGTGGGTTGGAAGATGAGGAAAAGACGACGAGAGCGCGGAACGTGCGCGCGTTGTCGCAGCTTCCACCAGCCACCCTTCGCGGACGTGCTACTCTCTCTCTCTCTCTCTCTCTCTCTCCCTCTCTCCCTCTCCCTCTCCCCCTCCCTCTCTCCGCTTTCCGTTTTCACGTCTCGAGATTGTACGTTCGAGGTTTGTAAGCGGAATTTACGACGTCGATACGCATATACGACGTATCCTTCGACGACGTTGTCAGTCAACTTCTCATATACCCCGAGAATCGAGAGCGCGCGTCGCAATGGCGCGAACCCCGACGCGCAGTAACGCAGTGGCATTATGTAATGTTAATGTAATTCACTCACGGGCGCTTTGCGCGGACAAGTCGTGACCAATGAAATATTCAACACAAAAGCTTCGTTAATTTTTTTTTTCTCAGTCCTCTGTATTTCAATCTCGCGATTGCATTCGAGTCAAATAGGTTGCATGCGAGACATGCAGCATTATTTTTGTTCGGCCAAACGTTAAGTCCGCGGCTCGCGGTACCGTTAATTAAAGCGCAAACGTCTCGTTATCGTGAGGACAAGCTCGGCAAGTTTGTCGGCCGAGTTTGTACAAAAACGGAGCGTCGCTCAATTTCCGGAATAGCAGCCCGACAACGATTGTAAATCATTCCGCTGGCTCCCTAATAATGTCACGGTAAACTAACGGTTTATTTTTGCGTCGACAACGAGGTGTCGATATTCGCGCTTTTGCCAAAGTTTCTCACTTTTCCGGACGATTTACGAAAGCGAATTACGCGCATCGGCGGTCAATTTTCGCGCCATGCAGCAACAACATGCGTTGCACCGATTTGTGTGTGAGCGACTCATTCTAAATATATTCGATCCTGTGTATCCGTTTCTTTTTGTTGCTTTTGTTTATTCATTTTTTAATATATATATATATATATATACATGTCACCGCGTGATTTATGACGACACGCTCGAATACGATTCTAAAAACGAGTCGTCCGACTGCTCAATCGCTCTTGTGCGCGCCGCGATTTATATTTCCTTGTGAATGACCGCCCTTGGTATATTTTTGCTCCTTTGAGCCTTGAAGCACTCGAAGTGATTTGGTAACATTCTAAATTTTATTGACATAAAAGTTTATCTTTTTCCTTGAAAGACACAAGAGTAGTTTAAGATAGAAATAAAAAGGGGATTCTCCAAGGGTTTCTTTCAGTCATGTATTTTAGTAACGAGAGAAGAGTCTCCGATTCCGATTCAACGCCGGAGACTACCGCCGTCAAACTTGCGCACATGTATCTAGAGTATGATCGCGCGATAGAACGCAATATTTACGACATTCAACTTCCATATCTGTTCGTTTTCACTCGCGCGCCAAAGCTTATTGCAAAATTACGTGAATGATTTAAGTAAGACACGTCCGTGTCGTTCCTGATAATGAATGATCAACCATCATCCGAAATCCGTGTCACTATCAGAACGTCAAAGATTTATCAAGCTGTCAAACTGTGGCAGAGTGAATGATGGTATTTCCACTCGACTCTGCGTAAATATCTCTGTTTACAACGATGACCATGACGTCAATTGGCCTTTCAAGCATACGTCATGCGGCAAGAAAAGAATAGCACTTGGGTCGGGGGCGCAGACGTGTGCAAAAATTCGCAAAGACAGTGCTGTCGAGTACGATGCTGTCGAATCGTCAGATACTCGTAAAAATATACGCACGCTTGCCATGTATTCGCAATCGTGTTATTACCGTTTCTGCCCTGCTCGACCGCTACATTCCGCGGAAGTGCGCGCGAGCGTGCGATTGCTCGCAACGGCAAAGTGCGTCGCGTCCGCGAAGAGTTTAACGGGGTTCGCTCAATACAAATGCAAATGTACTAACAAGGACGGTAGAAAGGTGATCTTTTCGTTTCTGGCACTCCTCGGTCATTCGCGGATCCGAATGTGCGCGCGCGCGTCCTCCTAGCACACATATACCGGGTGCGCTAAATGCGACGCTATTTTTGTTGCCGCGTTCGCGCAGCGCGATCGGCCCGGCGGCGGCGGCGGCGGCGGCGGCGGCGGCGGCACACAACGACGGGCACGGAGAAGCACATTTATTTTCAATCCGGCCACGGCCAGACCACGACGATCGGCACCCAGGATGTGCGCTCTCGAGCGCGGTGACACACGGGCCGACTATGCGCCTCCGAGTCGTATATCGGTATACGGTATATCGGACCCAGAGGTCAAGACCCGCCGCTTGCGATTGTCCGATCCGAGGCGCACAGGTGGCCGTCGCGAAGACGTTATTTTTTTGCGAGGCGCTCGCAATTCATACGACGATAGTCTCGATCGACTTTAATGCCGAGCGCGCCGAGTGCGCGCCATCGGATAGCATTTTCAAGAGAGACAGGACTTGGACGCGCGCGGCTCCTGCGATCAAGTCCCACGTGCCGCCGCTCCCCCCCCCCCTTTCCGGTTTGCATTCTAAAATTGCTTTTCCGCGTTTAAAAGCACACACACACACACACACACTTTCATCACAGTCCACATCTCGGGCAAATGTTACTTTCGAGCGAACGAAAGTATTATTACGAGAGACGTAAGCTCTCGATTACTTCACCGCGCGCGCAAAGCGGTAATTCCGAAATCGCTCGCCTCGAGTCGAGAGTTAAACTTAGAATTCCACTTCTTCTTGCGCATTAGCGCTTTCCCGCGCTTCGCGGCCACGCGGTTTTCGACGCAAATTTCTCGGGAGGGGTCGCGCGGGAACGCGAACTTAAAAATTGTGCAACATTTCGAGTCTCGTCTCGGTACTCGAGGCAATTACCGGGCGTGTAAAATTTCGACGAGGGGTCGTTTTTCTTTGATCTAGGTGTACGTCGCTCGCGTGACCAGCGGAAATGAGGAGACGAACGAGAATCGCAGCGCAGCGGGGTAAAGAGAGAGAGAGAGAGAGAGAGAGAGACTTTCGAATTGGCATAATTTGTACCATCTAATCGACGCGGGATAACGACGACGACGAGAGTGAGCTTGGCATTTCCTAAACTAAAAAGAAAGAAGAAAATTCGCCAGCGAGATCTGGCGCGCGCGCGCGTCGGGGCGGTGAATGAGAATTCGCGGTTAAAATTGTAATCGTGACGAATAAGCTCGGCGCTCGCTGCGATCGCAGATTCGCTCCTCCGTGGTGATAAAACAAACGTCGTGTATTCGTGCGTAATAGCAGCGCGATACGCGTCGGTTCCTAAATATAAGCCCGCGCCCCACAGCCGCGCACGACACAGTGTAAGTAAGCCGTACGCCGGATGCGACGTGAACGAACACACACACACACACACTCCAGTAGCGCAATCTGCTCTCGCATTTCGACAGGTTTTCGGTGCTTGGAAACCTGACGGAAGAAGACGGAGAGAATACATTCGGCTCACGTCTCTCCCGCTTATCTCGTTTCGTAGGAAACACGTAGGAAACGAAGGACGAGTTTTGCGCGAGACGAATGATCTGTCCACGCGGCTTTGTCGCGATTTTGGCGACATCGACATCGACATCGGCGGGAATCACGATTCTCGCTGGCCAGGTCATTTGCGCGAAGATATCGTGTCGAGATGCGCGCGAAAATCAATATGAGGCGCAGCATTCGCGCGTCGTAAAGCCCCAGCGCGTCGGAGGACGCTGATCCCCGGGCTAAATTGAAACTTATGAGTTTTCCAGTCCGGGGGCCCTCCGACACGCCACTTCTTACGCCTCGCCCGCCATTCTTCTTCGCCGTTAAGGAGACCTCGTCTCCTTGGTAACTGATACGCCTTATTAGCTGCTCTCCTCACCTTAGGAGCCTCGCGAGGATCATGCGCGCCCAGCCGCGCGACTCAGCTTGCTCAGCGCTCCTGAATTTCTCTTGCGCAGCACCCGACCCCCGCCTCGCGTCCCTCGTCCCTCTCGTCTCTTCGCGTATTCGCGACACCCTCCGCTCCGTGCGCGCGCGCGCGCGATCTTCCAGCTGCCAGCGCCGCGCGCTCGAGATACGCCCTGCTTGTAGCAAGTGTAGGAGGTGTATTTTCCTCTCGGCCCTCGACACGCCGTTGCGACGATTAATTAATCGTCTTCGGCTTCGGCTTGATACGTCGCGGCATGGGGACCCGACGCGGCGCGGCGCGGCGCGGCGTATCCATCAAATTGCCTATTGAAAGATATTTAGGCGATTTGGGTGGGCTACCGTTCAGAACCGTCGCATTCACGAAGGAGATCCCGCGCGGCACCATTCTGCGCCCCATTCGACTATTCCACGTGACCACATGGGCCAACGACAATGCCGCGCGCGCGGCCCGACAATACGCGGAAGATACAAATATTTTCGACAGACGCGATTTCACGCGACAACGCGCCCCCTCCCTCCCTTCCTCCCTGCCTCAACGCATCCATTCGATTGACGAGAGAGGAGCGAAGAGGATCTCTCTCTCTCTCTCTCTCTCTCTCTCTCTCTCTCTCTCTCTCTCTCTCTCGGTTACGCGCAACGACCTTATCTGTCCGAGACTGTCTTTCCTCTTCTTCCCCTGTCCGCTCCTCCGCGCGCTGCCTTTCGACTCGAGAGATCAAATTATCAGGCGCAAGGGATTGAGAAAATATATATCCGCTCCTCAAGTGCAGGTTAGAAAAGCGATCCGCATTTGGCAACTTCTGCAAAAACCCACGCGTTATCGCGAATTGATTTGTCGGCGTCGAGAAAAAGATTAGCTGGCGAAATAAGCTACTGGTCGCATTATTTCTATCTCGCGCGTCTCACCATCCGTTAGTCTTTTGCCAAGCCCACCTGGTGCATCCATGAGGCCCCCCATAAAATAGAATTTGTCAGCTCCCTGCTGCCGCTCTGCCACCGCTCTGTCGCCGCCGTTACTCCAGTAGCGCGCAGAACGTTGTCGTGACTTTGGCAGCGACGGAGATTTTCGAAATTTCACGCCCATTACCATTGTCAATGGGCAGATGCCGCGCGACAAAAGGACGC